GCAACTGCCCTCTCCTGTAGGCCTGGTTGCCCGCAACTGCCCTCCCCTCCAGGGATGGTCCCAACTGCCGTCATCTGCAGGCCTGGTCACCCCCAACTGCCCTCCCCCAGCAGCCTGGTCATCCCTAACTGCTCTCCACTGCAGGCCTGGACTCCCCCCCAACTTCCCTCCCTTGCAGGCCTGGTCGCCTCCAACTGCCTTCCCTTGCAGGCCTGATCCCTCTGAACTGCCCTCCCCTGCTGATCTGATCACCCAAAACTGCCCTCCCCTGCTGGCCATTTTGTGGTGACCATCTTGTGCCCACATGGGGGTGGCCATCTTTGACCACATGGAGGTGTCCATTTTGTGTGTTGGAGTGATGGTCAATTTGCATATTACTCTTTTATTAGATAGGATTGTTAATCTCTCACTATAACTAATTCATAAATTAAACTTTACCATAGGTATGTATGAAGAGGAAAACATTATACTATAGGAATTGGTACTATAGGATTCTTCCTTTATATTTAATTTTTAAAGTTTTATTATAATATATCTCAGAAGAGATCATTTTCCATGGAGATAATAGGGTGACCTGTTAGCTCCCTGAAATTGGTTGTCCAAGTTTCTTCCCAGGTTTGCAAAGTTCTCAGTTATTATTTATTTAAATAAACTTTATGTCTCCTTTTCCCTCTTTTCTCCCCCTGAAATCCAGGTTATTCTGCATGCTTTGCAGAGCTCATTCTTGAGGACTATATATATATATATATATATATATATATATATATATATATAGTGATGTAAAAGGACAAACTAAAGAGGTAGAAGTCAGCTTTGAGGATGTCTTAAGGATTAGCATGAGATGGGTAGAGATGTTATAGTCTTGGAAGAAAGCAGAACTGTCTTTGGTAAGTGATTGTTTTTATGCAAGATTCTGTTCTTCATGAATCTCAGATTTTTTATATTTTAAGTGGGAAAATTTAGACCTCCTCACTAAGCCTCCATGCCTTAACTTTTCATGGATTTCAGAGACTGTGATGCTCCATATGGCTTACCTATTGGAATTTTTAGACTTATTCTAGGAAGTAGTAGGTGTGTCATTCTATCTTGGCAATGAAGAAATTTTGGAAGAGACCACATAGTAAATAAAAGTAGTAAAGGAAGAAATTAGATAAGTTTTCCTCCAGTTGGCTCAGCTTTAATGATAGTATTGTAATTATATAATGCTTCTGTTTTATGAGATTGTACATCAATGTGGTTGGCCCATCATGGGTTCTTATACAGTAAAGGTCCCCATTCTCCCACCAGTTTCACAGCAGGGAAAGGTCATTTTCCACCTAATTTCAAGCATGGGATGAAGAAGAAATGGATATGAGGCAAGAAGACAGGAGGGTTAAGTTTCAGGCTTCAGCATTGAAATCACATTCCTCATCAGTGATGACAGTGGTCACAGGTCTAAGATGTTTTCAAGGTGGTGATCCAGGTGATTAGTGAGGAGAAAGCACAGTGAGTTCTACCAGGAGCCTTTAAAACTCCACCTGGCTGTTCAAAGAGGCCCTATTATCCTAATCTCTGTCACACTCTTCCCCGCATAGTAATGAGCTTTCCCTCAGGTGAAGCATGGCTTTTAATCACCCATAACCTTGCACAGCAGCCTTGATCCAGTGGGCAGTGCCCTGGGGAAAGGTGCCTTTGTGCCCATTGTCCAAGAATCAGCAACCTGCTAGCTAAGTCCCTGTGATGTAAGTAAATTTGAAGATACTATTCCAGCAACCCTCAAAATAGCCTGAGTGGGAGTAGATATTTTCTTTATCCCCCTAGTTCAGAAACCTAGGCTTAAAGATGGGAAATCAATTGTCCTCAGTTTAAGACTGAATACATGGTGGGACCCGGAATAACCTCGTATATATTTGACTCAAAGTTTATGTCCTTTTCTACTCTTCTTCTCTGCTGAAGTGACCAACTCTGTCCTTCCACCTTCCTATGTGCATTCATGAGTTCTACCTACAATGATAGCCATAAGTGTAAGAGGTAGTGATATCCTACTGGCTGGGTCTACCCACTGCTCCCATCTCTTTTACTAGATAATGACATAGATCATAGATGTGTTTCTTGAAGGAGTCATAAGCCATTCTTTTGGAAAAAATCTAGATCTAGAAAAAATTGAAGCTGAAATTTCAGTAATATCCCCAAATTTTCTAGGTCCTCAAGCTTCCATTTTATTTATTCAAGTATTGCTATAGACTCCAGTTGGAGGATGACAGGAGAAAAAGAAATAGAAAAAGTTATTTTCATTGACTACAGTTTCAAAGTCTAGTAGAGGGGAAGACATATAGAACATGATGTGACATGGTGACAATTTGGATAGGTCACGATAGTAGATAACTAGATGTGGTGGTAGTTCTGTTTTGGGAGAAGCATGTGATTATCAGTGTTTTCTGGAAGAGAATAAGAGTTAAGGGAAGCAGGTTTAAGCAGAGAGAGAAGCATATGTTTAAAACGTATCCAGAAGCAATCCAGTGAGTTCAAATCAATAACGAGTAAGTGTGTAGTATGAGGTGTAGGATGTTCTGGGGGAGAATGATAGGAGATGAAACTGGAAATGCCATGTATGAACATGAAGAGCAATGAAGTCTGTACTGAAATATTGGCTAGGATGCTTTCAACCTTTAGAAGGAGGCCTTCAATCATTCCATATTATAGGCCAGTTGTTTGGCAATGATGCCAGAGGTGAGTTCAATGATTAGCTTTGCATGAGTACAGTGACTGGCCATCAGTTTGGAGGATGGAAGTGTATGTGTGTGAAAGTAATGCAGTGATCAATGGGAAGGCTACTGCAGTAATCCCTGGGCAAGTCATAAGAGCTGAATCTTTCCAGTCACAGTGGAGATGGAATGATGGCACATATTAGAGGTGGTAGATGCACGTGGACATATTAGTAACTGGATGTTACTAATTGGTAATCAAGTGAAGAAGGAAAAGGATTTTGTGATGGCACTCACAGACTTGTGTTTTATAATGGAGATAACCCTTCCAGCAATGTTTTCTCCCAATGTTTTTATTTATTTATTTATTTATTTATTTATTTATTTATTTATTATTATTTTATATATTTTTTTATTGATTTTGTACAGAGAGGAAGGGAGAGAGATAGAGAGTTAGAAACATCAATGAGAGATAGTCATCGACCAGCTGCCTCTTGCACACCCCCTACTGGGGATATGCCCGCAACCAAGGTACATGCCCTTGACTGGAATCGAACCCGGGACCCTTCAGTTCCCAAGCCGACGCTCTATCCATTGAGCCAAACCCGTCTCGGCTCTCCCAATGTTTTTCGTGTTTTCTCTGCATTATATCTTTGGTCTCTAATGAGGTCAAAAGTGAATTGACCCCACAAGGCACCAGCTAAGCTCATATTTTCAGAATCAGAAGGACACTAGCATGACAAAGGTGCGGAAAAAGACATTTGGCCCAACTCTGTCATTCCATAAGCAGGAAAACTGAGACTGACAAAAACATGGCTGCCATAGGTGTCCAGAAAGTGATGGCAACTGTGTTTCCCATTCTCCCCATCCAGGTATCAAGGAAGTGGGCCTGTGGCATCAATGGATAACTATTATGTGCCATATTCTCTTATTGGTACAGGAAGAGCTCTGAAGGGGAAAATCTTATGGCTTAAGGTGAGTGTCTATCCCAGTCTTTAGGTCACACAATGTAGATCTTGATCATCCATCCTATGATTGAAATCTATGATTGAGGATTTCCAGGGAGAGCAGAAATCGGGACATTAAGGTATAGTGATAGAATACTCTCAGTAGTCAATTAAATCTGTTCCAGTTCTAATGCTTATACATCAAGTGTCTTCTTCTCTGAAGTGAGATCATAATATGGACATTCTGAAGTTGTTATAGGGAAGCTAATAAGAACATGACTAACTAAGCACTCTGTAGGAATGCTTTTGTTTCACTAAGCACATGAAAAAAATACATGGGAAATGCTTTCAACCTTTAGAGGGAGGCCTTCAGTCATTCCATATGCTAGGCCTGTTGTTTTCCAATGTGTTCCCTAGATGAGAAACATCAGCATTGCTTGGAACTTGTGAGCGATGCTAATTCTCCAGCTCTACCACAGAACCAGAAATTGGTGGTGAGGCCCAGAAACCTGTATCTTAGCAATCCCTCCAGGTGTTCCTGATGCTCTTTACAGTTTGGTAATCAGAGCTACAGGCAGATTGTGGACCCATTGGCTGGGGACTGTCTTCAGTGATGACATTGTTCCTATCCATCTGTCCTTAATGTGTCCTTTGGACTAACCCTTACATGTTCCTGGCATCTATCTTTATATATAAATGAAGGATAGAGAGTTAGAAACATCGATGAGATAGATACATCGATCAGCTGCCTCTTGCACATCTCCCATTGGGAATGAGCCCACAATCAAGTTACATGCCCTTGACCAGAATCGAACCTGGGATCCCCCAGTTGGCAGGCTGATGCTCTATCCACTTAGCCAAACCAATTATGGCCCTTGCGTCTATCTTATTTACATCCCTACCTTGGAATTTCGGGTGCTTCAGAGATGTGATTCCCTTCCAGTGTGAGAGGAGAGAAGGTGAGAAGTAGTGAGAAGACTGACACCAAAATAAAGCCCTTTGCTTTAATGAACCAAGGATCCTATCTCAGGAGACAGAGGGTAGAATGCTCAAGGTGAAGCAGTAGTGGGTGCTGCGGTCGCCGCCGATGCTGTTGTCGCCCCTGCTGCTGGTGTCCCCGCTGCTGCTGCTGTCCCCGCTGCTGCTTGTGTCCCCGCCGATGCTCCTGGTGTCCCCGCTGCTGCTGGTGTCCCCGTCGATGCTGCTGGTGTCCCCGCCGCTCCTGGTGTCCCCGCTGCTGCTGGTGTCCCCGATGGTGCTGCTGTTGACTTTGCCGTCATTGGGTTTGCAGTGGCTGTCACCTGTGCCACCGTCTTTGCCACCGTTTTTGCCTCTGTCTTTGCCACCGTCTTTGGCACCGCCTTTGTCGTCATCCCTGCCCCCGTCTTTGCCGGTGTCATGGTCCCTGCCATAGTTGTTTCAACTTCTGAGGCATTTCCAGGTGTAGTTATTGGGCCTTCAGTTGTTTTCGTTTTGTGACCACCACAGAAAATAGGATTATTTCTATCTTTAACACAGCACCTTGTTTCCCTGCTGCATAACCCAGTCGGAGGATTTATTAGTAATTCTCCAGTGTTGCACTTGCGCCTGCAATATCCACCTTTGTTTGCACACTTTCTCACATAAAAACTACCTGTATCAAGGAATTATATAGATCATGTAAGTCAGAGATCTATCATGACAGGTAAAAATAACAATTATTTCTTGAACATGGATTATTCAGGTTCCTTGTCAGTTGCTTTGTTATACCTTTCCTAGTCATGAAGACCTGCTCTGAGGATTAAGCGAGATTTTAAGTGAGATTTTATAAACATATACACATACAGATAATTTTTTATATATGAAACCAAAGTTCTGCATAAAAACACATGGCAGTGTCTTTTCCATTTTAATCAGAAAACTATATAAAATGTGATTACTTATGAATGTAAAACCGACAATCAATTACAAAATGCAACTAAGACACACCTAAATAGAAGTTTAAAAAACTATAATTTAAAAATATATAATGCTCAAATCATTACTGTAATGCATCCCACTGTTATTGAAACACATATGGCATTTGTTGATGCCTGGTGAGATTTTTAAAAAGTCTTTACACATTTCTGAGGTCCTAGAAACTATATTTGAAATATATGTCTGGATTTGTCTTATATATTACTTGCTAAATATAAACACATATCATATATATATATACATTTATATATATATACACACTTAGATATATAGATACAACTATGTATTATTGAGGTATAAATATATTTTACAAAAATTTGGAAATAAAAAACCAAAAGCCAGTCTACTAGTAATATATACATTTGGGAGACATTCTGTGGATATGACTACATATTTTACATATATATATGTGTGTATATATACTAAATTCTCTCATCACATGGTATATAGCACAGAGAAGACCCTGAAGAGTTGCTGAAACTCTTTCTCACCTTGCTCTACATTGCTTAACTCATTCCTCTACATTCAACCAGCAAATATATAGGGAGTTCCTAATATGTCAAGAAAGCTGCAGGATGATGGGAATAAACAATGAATAGAAAGACAAGGTCTGAGAAGCTTATATTGGAGAAGGGGAGAAGGAAAAAAAACCAAGTAAATGAATAAACAGAATAACTACAGATTGTAGTAAGTGCAACAAATTGAAAAAATAATGTAATTTAGCAGAGGGTAATCATTTTTGATTGCTGACTATTAACACTACTATTATCCCTTGTCAATGCTTAATCCTCTCTGAAAATTAAATGAGATTTTGCATACATAATATTTATATACATGCATTTACACACATAGATCTCTAGATCTATCTATGTATAGGCCTCTCACTACTATGACCAGAATTCTGTGTGGGGGTCATTGAGGGAAGTATCCCTCAGGAATATGATGCTCAACCCTAGACATAAAAGATGAAAAGGATCTAACATATGACAATCTAGAAAAGTATTTAAAGAAGAAGGAATAGCATATGCAAAGGCCATGAGTAGGGGAAGAACCTCAAACTTCTGAGGAACAGAAAGATTTTTTGACTTCTTTGTTTCATGGTTTTTCTTACTCTATTTCCTCTTTTTATTCTTTTGTATCTGCAAGAGCTCTCCATAATAGTCCTTAGGCTTCAAATTACTCTGCACTCCTTCCACAATTCCCTTTTTTGGCAGGATCCCAAATATCTCCATAAAGATAGCATTCAAATGTTTTTCTTCACAGAGCAACCTATGTGAATGGAAACCACAGATCAATGTTCCCTTCTTTCTATCTTGATCTTCTGTGGCCACTGGCATTTTATTCATTTTTCTTTCCAAATGTCCTTTCTCTTGTTGCCTTTCTGATGCCTCAGGATCTTGGATTAGATTTAGTTAATCTTACAGAATAATCCTGAATTGCTTATGTTTGTCTAGAAAAAAATAACTATGGGGTTTTCTCAGGTCCTTTGGTTTAGAAAGGACACACTATGCAAGTATGTGATGTATGTCATTAAAGTCCTAGAGTCAGAGTGAGAAATCATGCAGTCTAAACGCATAGAATTTCAAGGATGGAGTAGATCTGAAACAATTTCTGAGAAAACACTCATATTGTTATTAATTTCCTCTTGAATAGTTCTGGGAAATTCTAGAGAACATTCAGTACTATCCATAGAGTCAGCTATAGAGATATTATGCAGTTTCCATTAAGAAATTGTACCTTAAAAAAGATTGATTCTCACTGTGTGCCATATATAAAATATGAGAATGTGTTCAATGTAAAAGAAAACAAACAACCACACAAAACTTCACAATAATAAAACCTGTAAAAGAAGTTTCAGTAAGCAGAAGTTAATTCAAATTATTAAAGCTATTATTTATTCAAGAGAAATTGACATAAATGGCAATTCTCTCAAAAGTGATATAAGGCCAAAACCGGTTTGGCTCAGTGGATGATAGAGCATCGGCCTGTGGACTGAAAGGTCCCAGGTTCGATTCTGGTGAAGGGCATGTACCTTGGTTGTGGGCACATCCCCAGCAGGAGGTGTGCACAAGGCAGCTCATCGATGATTCTCTCTCTCGTCGAAGTTTCTAACTTTCTATCCCTCTCTCTTCCTCCCTGTAAAAAATCAGTAAAATATACTTTAAAAAAAGTGATATAAGGAAAGAAACACATTTTGAAAATATTGATGAATTTGCTTTCATTGAAGCTAGGAAAGTAAAATTAGAAGTAAACTATTTAACTTAACAAGAAAACAAAGAAATTGGTAAGTGTGGTGAATAAACTGTTAGCATGCAGAACTTTCTAATTTAGTGGAAGACTGCAAACAAAATACCAGTATATTTGCCACATGAAAATGCAATTTTTGTGTCTCAAATAAATTAATACATTTTTATAAGTAACCCATATATTAGAAGATATTTGCAAGAAGTGTGAAATAGAAAGTTTGAAAACAGTAACAAAATAGTATCACTTGGTTATATATGCTAGTTTTCTTTATCACCTTTTGACTAACCAATGGAACTTCTAAAATTTACCAATATAAGCAGAGGATCTTAGTGATATATTAACAAGGTTGTACTATGTTATTTATAATAGTGACACACTGTAAAAAAAAACAATTCAAATAAGGAGCTCTTCAAGTCAATACTCATACAGAAAATGTGACAAAATAATAAGCATCAACTGTAAATTGTATATTCAAGGAATACTCAAAGACTTGGGAAATTTCCCCTATATATTCTTAAGTTTAAAAATACAGATTATAACTTGTTCATCAGTTTGTCACACTTTTTAAAATGTAAGCATTTTACAAGAAATGGTGGCCAATTTTTTTTTATTTCTTAAATGCTTTCACTGTTCCTGTCTTAATTGTGTAAATATAAACTATAGAATTAAATAAAAAGAAGGAATGCTTATAGAAGCAGAGCTGAAATCTGACACAGGACTTCCAGGAGGCTTGATTCCCACCTCTTCACTCAGAATATTTTTCTTTCCTTTTCCAACTTAAGGTTCTATTAATTACATCCAAGAATTTAACAAATGGGAAATGTTCCCTGTAAGACCAAAAAACTGGGAGAAGTAATATTTTAGAATTGTTACCATATAAAGTGAAGCCAGGCAGGGCTGGACTGCACTGGCCCTAAGTGATAGCACAGGGAAGTTTGGGGTGTCATGATTATGTCAGTCCTTGGCTTCTCATTATTCTCCCTCAACTCCAGTTATGGACATTGTGAGAGCCTTGAGGTCTCTTAGTGGTGTTTTGAAGAAGTAAGGCAAACCTCAGCCCCGCTCCTGTGGTAGCCCTGCCCTTACTCCCATAGCCAGTTTTGGAAACAGGGACTCCATGTGCAAGACCCTGTCCTAAGTTGGTGTTTCTTCTTCCCCAATATTCTATTTACCTGAGACCAACTGGGCCAGGAGCAAAAAAATTGCAAGAGCCAGTAATAGGCACTTCATGACTCCTGAAAGACAGTAGGCAGGCAGTGGGTTCTATGGAGTCCAGAGCTGTCTATTCAGTGTGACTCTGAACATGGGTCTTTATTGTCCTCCCTAGGTGGGGTTGGGCTCAGCCAGTGAACCAGACGGATATAAGACACTGTGCCAAACATGACTTCAGTCCATTGGCCAGCAGCTCTAATTGGGGCATCACTATTCAAGAGCCTTGTCCTGGCATGCCTTGGGGGAAAGAGAAAGATAAGAGAAGGTGTAAGACCAGCTGAAGTGTATGACAATTTAGAGAGAAAGACACAAGAGGAATTTTTGTTGATTTCCGCAATGCTGGATATGCCTACCTTTTTCCCAGGGTCTCCTATGTTGGTGGTTCTACCAGAGTATTTATCTTATTGCATTGTGATAGTCTGTTCACCTATATGTCTCTCCCCCTAAAGTAAAATGTATTTTTTGAACACTCACTACATGTACGTTTTTTTAAAATATTAGTTCTGGGCATGGAGGAGTACCTAAGCAATTTTTTGATGATTGAAAAATTTCCTTGGTGATAATCTGTCAACTTAGAAAATATTTTTAAAGAAAAACGTCAATGCTCCAAGATATATGTACAAAGATGTCTTTAGGAGAGTGGGGGAAGTAACAAGAATTACTGGTGTTAGCTGGGCCTGGAACCATGGATCTGTGTGAACTTCTGAGCTACCAGATGGTAGTGGAGTAGGTGGATCTTTCTTGCACCACTTCCAAACTGGATATACAACTACATTGGGGAACATTCACCCTGAATTACCACCTGAATTCTAAATGAACAGGAACCTTTTGACAAGGAAGGGCAGAAACCAACCTCCTGCACAAGACTGCTCCTGCACAACAACATGTATGACATGGTCAGGATTGTTCTTCCCAGCCAGACAATGTAGGTTGTGGGGTGATCCCACCCACAAACAGGACAATAACAGTCAAGACCCAGTTACACTAGGAGATCCCAAATAACTCACACAGCGGGCATTTCTAGAGCATCCAGCTCAGGAGATCAGAGACTGCACCCGTGGGTCCCACGGGACACTTACTACAGAAGGTCACTCTACGAAGACTGGGAGGCATAGCGATTCTAATATGTAGAAACAGACACAGGGGGACAGCCAAATAGGGAGACAAAGAGGCAACCCTCAAATGAAGGAACAGGAGAAAGCTCTAGAAAAAGAGCTGAATGAAATGGAGGCAGTCAATTTATGAGACATAGAGTTCAAAGTAATGGTATAAGGATGCTCAAAGTAACTTAGTGGAAATTGCAACAGAATAAAAAATGAAATAGAAATCGTGAACCAGAACCAGTTGGAAAAATAGAATACCATTATCTGACATTAAGAATACACTGGGAGGAGTCAGAGAAAGGCAAGTATCACATGATCGCACTCATATATGGAACCTAATGAACAATATTATCTGGTGAGCATATTAGATCCAGAGACATAGAAGCATAGAATAGATTATGGAATCTCAAAGGAAAGGCAGGGAAGGGATGGTGGGTGGGAAGGGATCAAACAAAGAACATGTGTGTATATATATATATATACACACACACACAACCCATGGACACAGAAAATAGGGTCTTGAGCCTCTAGGGTGAGGGGTGGGGCAAAAGTGTTAAATAGCGGTGGGGGGATGTGGAACATATGTAATATTTCAACAGTAAAAATTTAATTTAAAAAAGAGTATAAAAAATATACTGGAGAGGAGATACAAGATGGCTGCTCGGGTAGACATCTAGCCGCGGCAGCACACAACAATTTCAATGGAATACAACTAAAATGTAGAGTGGACATTGCCCAGAGCTTCAGGTAGTCGACTGACTGAAAATTCTACAACAAGAAGGGAAGAGAAAACCAGAAGGAAAATCAGAGGAGCTGAAAAAAAAAAGCCTAAGGTATGGAGACATGCTGCGCGCCCGCCTGCACGCGCGCACGGAGAGGTCGCAGCCAGAGAGGAGGAGAGGGCGGGATACTGCCTTTCCTTCCCTAGCAGGAAGGAAATAAAACCCCCAGCCTGGGCTGAACCCCCGAACCAGCAGCGCTGAGCCCCCCGAACTGGCAGCGCTGAGCCTAGGTTATGGGCCAGACCCTGGGGACCCAGGCTCCGGCAGGAGGAGACGGGGCTGTGAGGCGGAAAAGCGGCGAAAAGCAGGGCCCCCGGAGTCGCGTGCAGAGGACTGAATGTTGACTCTGATGCTGGGTTACCCTAGCCGGAAGAAACAAGGCCTCCGGCGGCGCTGGGCCTCAGTCTGGACTGCTTCGAACCCCAGTTCTGGGCCAATCCCTGGGGACCCAGGCTCAGGCAGAGGGAGATGGGGCTGTGAGGTGGAGTCCGGGAAAGAGCGGCGAAAGGCCGGGCCCCAGGACTCTCGCACACTGCGCGCAGAGGACAGTCTGTTGACTCTGATGCTGGACTCCCCTAGCGGAAAGGAGAAAAAAAGCTCCGGGCTGGGGGAACGCGGCGGGGAGCGGAAGCCCCTGCCGGACTCCAGCCAACAGGGCACCAGCAAGGAGGCGGGCGACGGGGCCCCTGGGGGGGTGGGTGCCCCTGAGCCTTCGACCGCTGAGCGCGGGCAATGGAGCCACGGCCGGGGGCTGCTTCCTGGGCGGCGCCGTCCCCGGCAACAGGCTGAAGCAGTGCAGGAGCCCGTGGAGAACAAAGGGGTGCCACAGGCCAACCTGCTGAGCTCCCAGGACAAGGAGGAAGAAACCAAAGAAGTTCTCAATGTGAAGAAATCAAGTGAGAGCAAAAGATAGTAAAATTACTTAAGAAAGAATACAAAGAAGTTCTTGAAAAATCAAAGACTAAGTCAGAACTCAACTCACCAGCCAACATTGCAACATAAATGCGTTTCAAAAAAAAAAAGAAAAATAAAGGACAGAATGTTGGAACAGCGGCGGCCAGGCCTAGAGTGGCCAGGCACAAGGCAGTGGCAGCCAGGCCCGGAGCAGCAACGGCCAGGCCCCAGAGCAGCAGCAGCCAGAACCAGAGCATTAACAGCCAGCACTGGAGTAGCCAGACCTGGGGCAGTGACAGCCAGGCCTGAGGCGGAGGTGGCCAAGCCCAGGGTGGCCAGCCTAGGAACACCCAGACCCGGAGTGGCCGGGCCCGGAGAAGCCGGACCCAGAGCAGCCAGGGTGGGAGCAGCCAGACCCAGAACAGCAGTAGCCAAGCCCAGAGCATCCAGGTCGGGAGTGGCCAGGCTCGGAGCGGCCGGGCCCGGGGCAGCCGGGCCCAGAGCAGCCAGGTTGGGTGCGTCCAGGCCCGGAGCAGCAGCTGCCAGGCTTGGAGCGGCCAGGCCCGGGGGAGCAGCTGGGGCTGGTGCGGCCAGGCCCGGAGCAGCGGCTGCCAGGCTGGGAGCGGCCAGGCCCGGGGGGCAGCCGGGTCGGGTGCGGCCAGGCCTGGAGCAGCAGCTGCCAGGCTGGGTGCGGCCAGGCCCGGAGCAGCGGCTGCCAGGCTGGGTGCAGCCAGGCCCGGAGCAGCGGCTGCCAGTCTGGGAGCGGCCAGGCCCGGAGCAGCAGCAGCCAAGTCCAGAGCAACTAGGTCGGGAGCGGCAGTGACCAGACCCAGAGCAGCTGGTTGTGGAACGAACCAGAGCAACAGAGGCCAGGCCCTCAGCAGCCAGGCCCGGAACAGCTCGCTCCTCGCCTGCCCCTGCCCCACGGCTGCCTCTCAGACATGGCTAGAAACTTTCGCGGGAACTTGAGGGTCTGCTGAATCAAGTGATGAAGGCTTAGATCTGGATGTGTTGAGTTAGTATAGGGCTGGAGTGTTGATCTGTGAGTGCCTTGGGTGGGGCCTGGATGAGGCTAGTTGATCTATTGGGAAATGTCTTTTGTGTGAAGTGTATCATTGGGCATGTGGAGGTATTATTGATATGAGAAAATGCTAAGTAACTGATTTACTATCTGAAAAGGGATTTACTATCGGGGAATGGGAGGGAAGAAGAGACTGAACATAAACTGCACCTATGGATGAGGACAATGGGGGATGGGGAGGGGGCGGAGGGTGGGGTGGGAACCTGGTGGAGGGGGGAAGAAATGAGGAACCTTTGTAATAATATGAACAATAAAGATTGATTTAAAAACAAACAAACAAACAAACAAACAAAAATATATACTGGAAGGAATAAAAAGTGGATTTAATTTAGCCGAGAATCAAATCAGTGATTTGGAAGATAAGATAGAAAAAAACACCCAATTAGACTATCAAAAAGAAAAAAGAATTAAAAAGCAGGAGGTTAGTTTAGGGGATTTGGGGGATAACATGAAATAACATTTGCATCATATGGGGTACCAGAAGGAGAAGAAAGTGAGTGAAGAATAGAGAACTGTTAAAGAAATAATGACAAAATCTTTCCTAACCTGATGAAGGAAAAAGTGACACAAGTTCAGGAAGCACAGAGCCCCGATCAAGATGAACCCAAAGATACAACATAATTAAAATGGCACACATTAAAGACAAAAAAAGAGAGAGAATCTTAAAGGGATGGAGGGAGGGATGGAGGGAGGGAGGGAGAGAGAGAGAGAGAGAGAGAGAGAGAGAGAGAAAGTTACCTACAAGGAAGTTCCCATTAGACTGTCAGCTGGTTTGTTATCAGAAACATTTCAGGCCTGAAGGGATTTTCATGAAGTATTCAAAGTAATGACAAGTAATGACCTGAATTCTAGACTACTCTATCTAAGAAGATTATCATTTAAAATTGAAGGTGAAAATAGGGCTTCTGGTGTGAAAAAGGCTAAAGGAGTACATTATTACCAAACTAATATTGCAAGAAATGTTAAAAGGACTACTTGAAGAAGAAGAAATCCAGAGAGAGAGGAACACAGGTATAAAGAAAAAAAAAGGCAATAAATAAGTACTGGTTCATAATAACCTTAAATGTAAATAGACTAAATGCTCCAATCAAAAGATACAGGATAGTTGACTGGATAAGAAAACATGACTCATATATGCTGTCTACAGGAGACCCACCT